AAAACATAAAAAAATACTAAAATTTTGCTAGATCTTTGGCACAAATATTCTTCAAAAATATTATTTAGATGAAAAGAGGTTACGTGAAAAAGTTTTAAAGCACTTTTGATCTCAAAAGTTGTCCAAATGCAACAAAAATCTGTAGAAAATATATCGACAAATATTTTAAATGTATGTTTGACAATGATTTGTTTAATGTGATGAGTTCCATACCCCTAAAAGTGTGAACTCATACTTTTTGATTTCCCTTCATATCGTGGTACTTATCTGCAGAAATGCTGCCCCCTGCTTGCATTTCTCTTTTGCTTTTAACAGTTTGTGTTTTTGTTGGGTGAATTTTTTTTTTTTTTTTTAGTGGGAAACAAACCAGTAGGTGGCAGTACTGCGACCTAAGACTGGCAGAAGAAGAGTTATAGACCCTTTATAAGGGTCTATAATGCACCTGTAGAATTTGTCATTTGTGTTTTTGGATTATACATAAGTGACCTGTTCTATTTTCTAAAACAAATTCTTGAATTCACTCAGATAAATATAGTAGTTTTCATTGAAGTTTTAAGACAGTTACAGCATAAAACAGTCCCGCTACGCCAGCGCATTACATTTATAGCACCCCCTACTGGTGATGAGGCAGAGGCACATGTTTTTATGTCTGCGGCGGTAACACAAAACATACAAAAATTGCCCTCAAGACGTTCTTGTCTTGTTATGAACATTCCGGCAGTTTATGTTTGACTCGTCGCTAATTGTTTCCACGTATTCCTTGTTTTCAGTAGCGCCTCATGTGGTTTTGGTTTCACGTGTTCCCTTGTTCTTTGTGTTGCTCCTTCACTCACATGTGTTTTGTGATCTCAGTTAACGTTATATGCATAAATAAATCCGTATTTTCTGTCAGGCAGAAGTGAGGGAGCTAGTGACATCACACGGAGGAGGCGTGGCTAAGGAGCTACAGCCGATCGTTGAAGGAGAAAAATCTCTTACGTAATGAAATTATCCTTTATTTTCTTCATAGATTCCAATCTGTGTCAAAAATAGTTCAAGTAGTTTTAAATGATCCGGATAAAAGAGGGAAGTTTCCAAAGATAAGGAGCGATGGATGATGTGGTCGAGTTTGGTCTAAACATATCCAGGAACTCTGGAAACTGTAAATTTGGGGAATGCCCTTTCCTTTAGCCGTTGACTTAGGAACAACGCCAGGTGAACTAGCTCCAGGTCAGCTGCTCCTTTACTCAGATTTACGTCACGTGACAAACGCTGTCATCAAAACAATGGAGCAACTTTATTCTCACCGTAAAGACAAATATCACTAACGGAAAAGGAAAACCTGAGGTAAAAGAGGAGAAATCTGGGCTTCAGAGTGAGCTTTACAGACCAGGACCAAGTCAGATGAGATGACAGGAAGTGGACTTTGGCTCCAGGCCTCAGAATTAGCACTAGATAGACTTGGTAAATCTCCAAGTAAATCACCTTGATATACTGTATTTGAAACAGCGACAATGTATATCTCTCTCTACCTTTTGGAAAGTGTCAACACTATGGCGTTGACCTATCATGGCAGCGCACTCTTCCTCAACTTGTGATTGGCTGGATTCACTCTTGTCTTCTCCAGTCTGAAGGTTCACCTAGCATTGATCTATAATACTGATATTACAGGTCAAAATGACATATTTAGAATTATATTTTGATCTTTAAAAAAAAAAGATTAACTCAACAGTCTAAAAAACAGTGGTTTTCAAAGTAGGGGTCGCGGGGAGCAGAGGCGCTAAGGGAGCCATTTTGAACCATTTGTCCTGAATCATACAACACGTAAACTGCTGTAATCGTCAGATTCATTGTTTCAAGTTTCTGATGACACCTGAACGCACCTCGAGCAACAGCTGCAACTTTAGTACATCTGTGTAAACCTGGCAGTTTGCGCCTGTCGTCAAGCTGCTCTGCTCCTCAAGCTAGTGCGTAGCTAGCTAGCGCATGTTCGCTAATAATTAGGCTAAACAAATGTGGTAATTATTAATTATCAAATAGAAGTGAGGAAATTCATCTTCTTCTGAAAAATGCCTTTTTAAAACACTACAGTATTGTCCCAACACACACGTCATATCTGTGGTTTTGTAATGAAACGTCTGTTTTTCCTGTTTTTATTTCTTACATATGTTTAGTCTCCACACAAGGCGCCTATAAAACACACATCCACAGCTGCTTCCACAGGTGCAGTGTACACAGTCGACCGGCCGCAGTGGAGACGACTGTGGCGAGGATAATCTAAGCTTTACATTATCGCAGCAGGACAGACTAAACCGAAAACGTCGGATAAAATCCCATCGAGAAAAAATAATTTTGCTGTACTGTATAACCAGTTCATCTGTCGTCTTTGGTTACAAAAACACGTCGTATTTTTTTAAACATCAAAACCTGATGTTCATTTAAAGCAGTGTTTTTCACTTTATCATTTTCTGTCATGCTCCCTCTAGAGGACAGGATTTTTTTCCCTCCCACCTCACCGCTCCGGATTGAAATACTATTGAGAACCTGATGTGTATTTTCTTATCTGTGCAAATCACTGTTTGAGTTGCTGCCACCTAGTGACAGGAGGCTTGTTTATCGTTCAATCGTTACAGCTTGTACAGCGTGCTATATTTCATCGGAAGCCTTTCACGCATACACCCCCCCCTTCCCCCCCCCCAGCCCCTCACACGTCTCCTACCCCGCCCCACACAGGGCCTGCGCCATCACTTGAGAAGTACTGATTTAAAGCAAAATGCTAACAGCAAAAAGCTATTTAAAATTAGCATTTTTTTGATCAGGCACAGAAACAACCAACAACAGTGTAATTTGCATATTTTTTAAATTTTTTTAATAATGAATCTTGGATATTAGACTGTGAAAAAGTTCTACTGTATCAAGGGTAAATATAAACAGGCCAAAAATAGAACCCTGGGGAATCCCTTTAAAAACCACCGATGATTCGCAAACCTTGATGTGAATTTCTGTGTATTTTAAATAAGCTTCTCCTGCTGCTGCCTCAGACTGTTTTCTGAATGCTCGCCCTGACGAACTCGGCTCAAATAAATCTTTCCCAACCACAAAACAAGTCTGGTGGCATGATGCAAGCCGACTACCATGCTGAGTTCAATCATTTAGTGACAGTATATAAAATGTGGTGACACGCAGCTAAATCCAACGTTGACTGAGCTGCACCAGTGGTTAAGAGTCTGCTCGTCGGTTGGCTTAAGTGAAGATAATGAAAGAACGGCTTCCTTAAAAGTTTTGGCTTAATTGCCCTCAGAAAATCCATTTAATTTTTCCTTAATTAGGTCAGAAATAGCTTTGGTTTGTTTCGCAGGCTGCCTCGCTTTTATGTGAAGGAGTGGCTTCCAAGTGGGGGCTTGTATTACTTCACCGTTTGTGAGTTTCTCACTTCTGTTTAAGTTAAGCATTGAGGTTTGCCAATGTGACGCCGGATCACGGCGGCGCCGCGATGAGGCCCGCAGGTAGGATTTCACAGCGGAGCTGCCTGACAAAGTCAACGCAATAAATTTATCTCCTGTGTTCTTTCCTTGCACACAAAATCTAAATGTCACCTTTGTTCTTGGAACATTCTTGCGTTGTGCCTTTAGCTACAGGCTCCTTTGGGGAAAGAGCGACGGCCTCTGTGGCTGTAACTCTACGGTGGCTCCTGAAAGCAGACGGAGTCCAATGGTTTCCAGGAAACGCAGTGGAGCGTGGACATCAGAATGCTACGGAATCAGTGGAAAAAGCTAACCGTAACTTATGTTTTGAAGCAGCGGGGAAAACAAAAATGTTCTTAAATGATGCGATAATAAACTAGAAATTGTTTTATGTCACAGCGGCAGCCGCTGCTGCTGCTGCGTGGGAGTTTCTCGCTCCCCTGAGGGAACCGCTTCATTGCGGAGGAGCTTTGTGTTTGAAATGATTTGTCACTGACATGACTGCAAATAGATTCCGAGGAGCTACAACGCACACGAGTGTGTAGATCTGTTTACATACTGTAGTTGTACTACAAGAATGTGTTTTCCCTTCACCGTAAGTCATTCAATTCTTCGGTGAAAACATGTTTTATTGAAGGAGTCGACTGCTCTGAGAGGAGTCGACCGCTCTGAGAGGAGTCAACCGCTCTGAGAGGAGTCGACCGCTCTGGGGAGTCAGGCTCAGTGCCTCTTGAAGAGTCATTAAAAAAGGTCAATTAAAAATGTATGTTAGTTAGCCTACTTTTACTAAAAGTGCACTGAAATGCAAAAGACTTTCGAGCGCACACGGGGTATCCTAATAACCAGACCATTGGTTAGCAGTGGAGCTCCATCCATGTCCGATACGGCAACTTGGAGTATCTGCCAATAACGATATCAATCCGATACCTTCTTTTCTCCTCCAGCATGACAGAGGCTGGCGTTGCCAAATTTATACCGTCCCTCGTTACGTCATGTCGAGCATTTTGGCCTAGCTATCAGATCGGATGGGCTATGGTTGTTCAATCTTGAGATTTGGATCAACATCGGACTGATGCAGATCCTGAGTATCGGATCGATCCATCCCTAGTTAGCAGCAGAGAGCAGGACACCCTGTAGTCTGCAGTCAGACAGACAGAGTTGAGACGGTATTTTAAGTCCCAGTTGCTCCTCCCAGCAGCGTGTGCAAATAACAACAAATGTATGGACTGTGTAATAGACCGATGATAATGTGATGGTTGGTAGAATTATAGAACATACAGCGTGTAATTCTACGTATATGTTAACACTCAGATGAATCATCAAAAACCAATTAATTCAATTAACGCCCTCAAAACAACATGATGTCACTGTCTTCTTCTACCTAAGATCAGTTGTGGCATTTGCAGAAGGTTGTAAAAAAAATAAGTATCCTGATAAATCAGACACTGTCTTCTTCTACCTAAGATCAGTTCATTTCCAGAAGGTTGTGAAAGAAATTACATTGTTAAAAATGAGTATCCTGATAAATCAGGTAATACGACAAGAATACTTCTGTGTATTCCTGGAATATAACTACAGTATTTGAAACTTTCCACACTGCATTATGGATTTTACATACACTGTTAAAATGTTTCTGGATGAATTTGATTTTGTCATAAAATATGAACTATTGCTCTTTTGGTGTTGAAGGTTGAAGACCCCCGGGTCAGAACCGGTGTTTACAAAGAGCGTGCACTCGGCTGTGATGACTCTTGAAGACTGTGTGTGTTTTTGTGTGAATGAAAGTATCTGTTCTGGACTCACACTCGTCTCTGGGCTGCGGCCCAGGATCTCCAGCTGCTGTTGGATCTTTTGGAGCTGCTGCTCCTGCTTTCTCCTCTCCTTTATGTCCTGCAGGACCTTCTCTCCTGGCTGCTGGTCCCCACTGCACTTCCAGCCAACCTCTGATCCACGGCCCTGATGCACAACAGACACGACACTGGTTCTCACTGGGAGCAAAACAACACCATTAAAAAAAACAAAAACAAAAAAACAACACGTAGTACTCTCTGAGAACCGTACTCGCCGCTAAGGGCTGCCAGTCAGGGATTCAAAAATACCATGTCTGTTGAGTAAAAGTATACACAATAAATGGATAATACACCTTTTGTACTTCAAACTTAGAGTAAGAACAGGTACTTCGTTTAAGTCCTGAGGAAGTCTGACCGAGGAGCCAAAGCCACATGGGTCCGTCATAAATCACACATTTATAGCATCCACATGCACGGGTTTGACACAATAAACCTCGGGCTGCATCCAAAGCAAACCCTGAAAAATGGGTCAGGAGGAAACAGAACCATCGGCAAATGTAAGTGAGGATTTTGGCCCAGAGAGTGTGAAGATTTCAAAATCTCCCAATCCCATTTCAAGAAATGTTGGTTTTCATTGTTTCTTTGAATGGACTTTAATCGTTTACATGTGGCGAAAGACAGGAGGCAATAATTTTCAACAATTTCATTGGCCAAAGTTCAACATACACTCATTTGTCCGAACCTTAAAATCTTCAACACTGGTTCTGATGTAGCAGTAACCGAGAGTTCTAACGGTCACTGTTGTCTTGTTCTTACCGACATAATGAATTAGACACAGATCTGGACTGCATGCAGGCCAAGTCAACGGTACCTCACCTCATATTTTTCAGAGGTCGTATCTCATCCTGCTCAATAAATATGCTAGGAACCGACGTCGTGACGAAAGCAGATTTCTCGTAACGGTACAGTGTGCCTTCTTAGAGTGTTAAAGGAACTAACGATCAAATGTTTGGAAAACCCGATTAATCGCAGGGTGTCTGTACATTAATTACGATCAATCTTGATTCATCATGATCATAGTTAATCAAGATTAATCAACATTCCTAGAAAAAAATTAAAAAATCTGTAAATTGTAGTATTATTTTAGATGGTATTTCAAGCTCGAGATGCTTTGGTGAAACAAAAACGTACACCCTGTTGTGTATTGACTGTGTATTAGCAGATTGTCGGATACACAGAGTGGGCAAGTATTAAAATGCATTCAATCTGATCAATTTCACAAACTAATTTTCATTTCGATAGCTGTAGAAATGACTTTGTTTCATTCCGTTTTTGCACGTCTAGGAGTTTGTTTGTTTTTTTTCAACACATTTTCAGTTGAAATACTGCATCACAGTCAAGAATAAAGTGAACTATAAATGCAGCAGCACGGGGCTCACATGTAACTGTAACTATGGTGAATCCTAAACATTAGGTCACACTACTGTATCCTTTCACCGCACCCACTAATATATTTAGTCTGAATGGAAAAGGCATGGCCAAATGAACAATACCATAAAGACAGAGGTCACCGACCTCTGTGGTGACCTCTTAAAATATATACTGCTATCCTTAAACAGCAGCAACGATGTAAAAAAACAAAAAACGTTTGGGTCTGGGAGGATGTTGCCAACCGCAGGACTGTTTTGAACTGTCAGTCTAGTGCCATGTGGTTGAAATCTTCAGCTCTCTGGGCAGCGCGTGTATGATCCAATAATTGTAAAATTGATGGATATTTCATCAGATGTTGACATCTCAGTGTGACTTACACGGCAAAATTGTTGGTTCTAGGAGACGTTGGGATCGAGAAGCAGGAATTATACATTTACCTTAAATACTGAGTTACCAAATCTGCAATAACACATTTAACTGAAACCAAGCCCCGTCTGGCTACTGTCATGTACTGCATGGGCACAGATTTGACCCCCCCCCCCACCCCCAGGGTGATATTTAAATATGTGCCATAACATTGAAAAATAAAAAGTGTGTGCGGTCTCACCTAACAGTGGACTCTGCTTCTCCCATAGGGAAATAATGACAGGTTCTATTTGAAGGAACCTTTAAAGTGGTCTTGGGTCGAGCCCTTCTGTTAAGACTCACTCATCTGGACTACAAAAGCCAGGGCCATGATGGGATCAGACCATGTCAGGCACGAGAGTGAGAAATCCAGCACTCCAAGCAGGAAAAATAAAAATTAAAGTCTAGCTTTACCACCATCATTACACCACTAAGTGCACGTTTCCAAAAAAGACCAAATCTCCAGGGGGAGGCTGTTTATTTAATTTGGAAAGAGTCGCTGCACTTTTCTTTTTTTTTTTTCCAGAACTATAAGCACTGAACAGTTAAAATTGTTTGCGAGATTTATCAGCGATAAAACTTCGTTTGACTGGTGTTTGACAGAATCTGGTGTTTTTTTTTTGTTTTTTTTTCCTACAACAACAGATGTGTACTCCACATGGTTGTCTGTAACGAGGCTCAACATACAAAGTGAAACTGTTTGTGTAGACCATTAGACCAAGCTCACTGACTCTAACAGTAAATACTCAAAATATCATTACAAGTAACATGCAACATTAAAAGTCTAGCTACACGGCTACTAACGTATGAAATACAGTCACGAACCACGACTGCTGTTGCTAACCTGGTCAATGAGAAATTTGGCTTGTGCCACCGTTGTAGGTCACATAGTGATTTTTTTTTGTTGTTGTTGTTTTTTTATATTAAATGCCCTTCTGGTGGTGGACAGCAGTTTTTCTGACTTGCTTAATAACGTAAGTCCAATTTTATCCTAGCGTTACGATAGTCAGGTAAAGGGTTGTTCTGCTCCTCTAGATGTAGCAGCGTGTGACTCAAAAATAAATTATACAACGTACTTGTAATTATTTCTTTGAGGTTTCTGGCAGTACAATGGCATTATGTCTGCAGGCTGCTCTGACTGAGACGCTCAGTTATTATCCTTATTATTGTTGCCAACTTTGCAGTACTTGGCTGTGCAGCCAAGTACACGCTGCAAATATCTGTATCTGACTTGGGCCTTGTTTTGGATTCACAAACTAGTGTCACGTTATCTAAAGCAGTGTTTTCAACCCTGGGGTCACGGCCCCAAAAGTGGATTTCAAAAGGGGTCGTCTAAAATGTCGAGTATTTGAATTTTTTTTTTTATTATTATTATTATAAAAGAATACGGTCCCTTATTTGTCTCACAATGGAATAATTCAAAAATTACTAATTCATTTTTTTTTCTTTTTAAATTTGAACTTTATTGATCCCATATTTAGGAAATTCTTGTGTTAATAGCAGATCTGTTGTAATAGGCTGCCCCTGGCAGGCACCAAGCGTTCAGTTCCTCTGGGAATCAAACCCAGGACTCTCTGCTCTGTGCTATCGAGGCAGGCGCTACACTGTGGACCGACCAACTTATATTACTAAAATTCTGATTAAACATTACACACGATATAAAATGGGCCAAAGATGTTTAGGAACCTGTGATCACATTGTCATTTTCAAAACGCTCCGTCTTTCTGAAGAAAATCTCATAAAACTATTTGACGTTCTTGGAAAAACAAAGTGAAAAGAAGCCAGAATTACGAGTAAAATTCAGAATCATCGGACCACCGCTGGTCGTTTTCCAGTGTTTCCCCGAGCCAACGATTTCGTACATATTGTTGACGACGGCCGCTGCTGAAACAATCCTGTTTGTTTTGTTTTTCTTCGGCTCTGGAATTTTCTTAGTTACAATAAATATCCTCAAAAAATCTTAAAAGAAAATCTTGTGTAATTTATTAACAACACGGTGACAAATAACAGGCCGTGCGAGATGAGCATAAATTCTCAGCTGTCCCTTTTCATAGTTCGTGTGCTGCGGTTTTCACTTTTGAACAGAAAAGATGAAAATACAAACGTTCATTCGTTAATCGGTTGGAAAACTACAGCGTGACAACTGCAAAACTTTGGATCGTGACCGATCGGTCGACAAGAGTTCAGTTTGTTTGACAAACAAGTCACTGGGCATTAACTATGCATTTACGATATGTTTTTGAATATATTGATGAATTTATTAACCATCGACGTTAACAACGCAACAGCTTCACAACAGTTTCCAGGCTGTTGGCAGAGCCGAGCAGAAAATCAGTCTCTTATGGACTGTGGATTTTACTGCAGTTTCAGAGTTGAAGTATCTCACCTCCATGAACCCCGGTGATTTAATACATTATGGTGTTTATGCTTTTACAGGAATCTTTGGCCTCTTTAACGCAGTGCTAGCTGTACATGAAGTGACTTGTTTGTTATCTGATTAGGTCGTGCGGCAAACGTGACGTGCCGTTAAGGACGTAGAGGTCACGTCGCCTGTACGAGTCACAGGACGAGGTCTGGATTTTGGTTTTTACCCCAAGTATTTTTTTTACCCCAAAATAGAATCAACGCAATTAGCTTTTAAAGGGAAAAACATGTCAGTCCTTTGAGGGAATTAAATCAATACCTCGGGATTTCACGACGGATGGTCACAGGTATTAGTAACAGCGCCGTTAATGTGGAGAAGTACACCGACAGCCAAGTACACCTTGAAACCTAATGGAATGTTATTAAAATCCAGGAGGAAAAAAGTCCATCATGCGTGACATGATTATTCCAGACGAGCCGTCCCGGGTTCTACCTCATGGTTCCGATTTGACTTTCCCACAGTTTTAAAGAGGACGCATTTGCCGGTTGCCATATGCGGTACTATTGTTGGTATATTATTTGTGGGACCTTCAGAGAGTTTTTAATCAAGTATGCCTGTGTCATTCATTAAGAGCTTATTGATTTCCTGTGATCACTTTCAAACATTCCATTGCGACAGTGTCATGATGTCGGAGTGTGAAACAGCTGCAGCACTTGATGGATGAGGCCTTGTTGTCCAAAGTGACAAAGTGAGAAAGAATAATGGCGGGGATTATTTTATGTCACACATTTCACATCTCATTAATTTGAAACACACGTTGGATGCCACTCAGGAACCGAGGATGCGCCGCAGGTCCGTGTTACCGTTGGAGGAACGTGTAATAAGTGCCATCAATCAGAGCGGGTTTGTTAGCCAGTGAAGAGGACCTCTGGGACCGGCAGTCTTGGAGGTTCTTCTCCGCTCCC